TGTCTGTTTGTCTGTTTGTCTGTTTGTCTGTTTGTCTGTTTGTCTGTTTGTCTGTTTGTCTGTTTGTCTGTTTGTCTGTTTGTCTGTTTGTCTGTTTGTCTGTTTGTCTGTTTGTCTGTTTGTCTGTTTGTCTGTTTGTCTGTCTGTGTGTGTCTGTCTGTCTGTGTGTGTCTGTCTGTCTGTGTGTATCTGTGTGTCTGTGTGTGCGTATCAGTGTCTGTGTGTGTGTCTGTGCGTGTGGCCGTGTAAGTGTGCCTGTGTCTGTGTGTGTGTGTCTATGTCTCAATTCGACACATGAGGCGGGCAGCGTTGGTGCACGCGGTCCTCCCAAAGCTCTCGCTGGATCTCGTTTCTCGTTCGCACCTACAAGCAGGAAACAAGCTGATAAAACAAGTTGGTATCTGAGCAACTCGGAGTCGGCCTCTTCGCGCTTCATGCGGCTCTCTTCATAACGCCGCCTAAACTGAAGGCTTTCCCTACGAATTGACCTGAATGCAGACACGGCACATTTTGTCCTCCTTTCTTTGTCGCTCCTGACAAAGTGACAAACTCTGAGGCAGGCACGCAGCCCTTCTCACTCACTCGCCTCTTCTCGCTTCTTTTCAGCCTCTGCTCGGCGCTGCTTTTCTTCCTTTCACTTTGAACATAAGGCAGCCAGCGCAAGAAAGAGCCTTCTGCAACATGACTCTGAAATACCAATCATGACGTTTTGTCCTCCTCTTTACGCAGTCGCTCTTCCTCTGCCTTTTGGCGCTTTTCTTCCAAGCGCTGCCTTGCCTGGCAACACATCGCCGGCGCCTTGACAATACACTGCGCCTCTCGCCGAGCCTCCTCTCTCCTCATTCGATCTTGTTCCCACAGCCTCGACGTTAAGTCAAAAACAGTATGGAGGCAGGCCTTCTTAGCGTTACTAGCAGGAGAACATCAATTGGAACGAAGATGACAGTCAATGCGCAGCTCACCAGGAGGAAACCTAGACCAGTTCGGCACACGGCTTGCAGTTCAAAGCCTGAGCCTAAACATATCTGTTCGTGTTGCGCGCTACGCCACCATGATTTGTTGCAATGCGGTTCAACATGAGTAGCTGTACCCAAACATGACCCTCAACGTTGCCCTCAGAGTTCTCGTCTCGCACCTCCTCTTCTCCTCTCTTTTCTGCCGGTCTGCTTCCCGTTGTTGCTGTTCCTGCTAAGCTTAGATAAGCTTAGAACGCGTGCTCTGTACTTGAGATCTGGCTTCCAAAGATGGCAACGGCAGCGGCCCGCGGCCTTTTCTCTTCGCTCAGCTGCCTCCTTGGCCTTGCACTCAATCTCAATTCAAAGCTTAGGATAACACATTCAGCAAACCATATTATATGATCTAATATCTGGATTGTTCACACCACACTCACCCGACCTTCTGCCGCAGCTCTTCCTGATACGCTGCTGCAGCTGCCGACTTCTTTGCCTGAAAAACATATTACGGAAAGCACTCTTGCTAGGAAATTCTAGTCTTTAGAAAAAGGCAAAACTAGGTGTCACAAATGATGCTGATGGCTGAACATTCATGTTGGACCAGGTTTTCTGCTGGGCCGGGACGTTTCTTGTGTTTGGTGATCTTAGAACTTTGTCGTCCGCTTGCCATGTTAATGGTGGTCATTCTGGCATGTGTGTGTGCTTGTGCGTGTGTTCGCTTGTGCTTGTTTGCGTGTCCGTTTGTGTGTATGTTTGCGTTTGTGGGTGTGTGTGTGCTTGTGTGGGTTCTGTCTTTGTGTGCCGGTGAGTTTGCCTGTGTGTGTGTACGTCGGTACGTGCCTATGTATATGTATATGTATGTATGTGTATAAGTGTGTGTCTATGTGTGTGTATGCGTATGTGTGTATCTGTGTATGTGTGGACTTGTGTGTGTACGTGTGTGTGTATGCGTGTATGTGTGCGTGTGTGTGTACTGTATATGTATGTATGTGTGTGTGTATGTCAGTACGTACGTACGCACGTATGTGTGTATGTACGTGTGTGTTGTACTTACATTGCACTACGTTGCGTTGCATCTGCGTTGTGGGGCAGTTCATTGCATTGCGTTGCTTGGTTGGTTGGCTCTTTGGTTGCTTGTTGCGTGCGCCGTTGTGTGTTTCTGTTTGTGTGTGTGTGTTTGCTTCTGCGTGTGCGCTCGCTCGCTTGCTTGCTTGCTTGCTTGCTTGCTTGCTTGCTTGCTTGCTTGCTTGCTTGCTCGCTCGCTCGCTCGCTCGCTCGCTCGCTTTGTTTGCCTCGTTGGTTCGTGGATTGCTTGCTTGCGAGCGCTGCGCCGTTGATTGATTGATTGATCGACAGACCATCGTTCTAGTTGGTTGGTTGGTTGCTTGGTTGGTTGCTTGGTCGGTTGCTTCGTTGGTTGGTTGGTTGGTTGCTTGCTTGGCTGCTTGGTTGCTGGGTTGCTTGGTTCCTTGGTTGCGGCTTGTTCGTTTGTCTGTTCGTTCATATGTGGTGTTTGTTTGTTTGTTTCTTCGGTTGAATCTTGTTCGTTTCTTCACATGTGCGCGTGTGTTGTTCGTTCGCGTGAATGTTGTTTGTTCTTTTTCTTCGTCGTTTACGTCTGAGCTTGCTGCATGTCATTCTGTCACGTGTTTCTTTGGCGTCGTCTTTATTAATGTATGTATTTATGCACTTCTTTTGTTATTACTTTCTCTCTGTCTTCCTTCTATTTCTTTCTTTCCTTATGTCTGTCCTTCTTTACTTCTTTGTTTCCGCTTGTCTGTCATTCCTTGTGCTTTGGTGTTTGTTCTGTCTATCTTCAGTATGCCTGTCTGCCTTTCTGTCTTCCTGTCTTTCCGTTTGTCACTATTTCTGTGTGTGTTTCTCTTGTTGTTTTTCACCCTTTCTTTCTTTCTGTCTTTCTTTCTTTCTTTCTTTCTGTCTTTCTTTCTTTCCTGTCTTTTTTTCTTTCTTTCTTTCTTTTCTTTCTTTCTTTCCTTCTTTCCTTCTTTCTTTCTTTCCTTCCTTCCTTTCTTTCTTTCTTCCTTTATGTATTTCGTTCTTTCTGTCTCTTCTGTCTTTATAGTTTCTGCGTCGCTGTCTTTCTGGTGTTTCTGACTTTCTGACTTTCTGACTTTCTGACATTCTGTCCTTCTGTCTGAATGTTCGCGTCTGTGTGCCTTTGCTTATTTATCTCTTGTTTTGGTTCTGCCTTTATTCCCCTCCCGACAGGAAGGGGTTGTAGATTTTATGTTGGAATCCACGTTTGCGCTGCTTCTACACCACGCCACCCAGTATCCTGCCAGAGCAGCTCGGATCCCGCCGGGTATCCCGCCAGAGCGGCTCGCCGTCAGAGCTCTCTGGGATGCTCAGCGGGATACTCGGCGGGATCCACTGGCGGGCTGCTCTGGTGGGACACTCGGCGGGATCCACTGGCGACACTCGGCGGGACCCACTGGCATGGGGCACTCAGCGGGATACTCGGCGGGATCCACTGCCAGGCTGGTTTGGTGGGATGCTCGGCCGCTCTGGCAGGATACTCTCCACTTCCGAGCTGCTCTGGCGGGATACTCGGCGGACCCACTGGCGAGCAGCTCTGGCGGGATACTGGGCGCCCGCTGGCCAGTGGCGGGATACTCGGCGGGATCCACTGGCGAGCCGCTCTGGCGGGATACTCGGCGGGATCCACTGGCGAGGCTCTGGCGGGATACTTGGCAGGATCCACTGGCGAGCCGCTCTGGCGGGATACTGGGCGGGATCCACTGTCCACTGGCGAGCCGCTCTGGCGGGATACTCGGCGGGATCCAGTGGATCCCTCCGAGTATCCCGCCAGAGTAGCTCGCCTATCCCGCCAGAGCAGCTCGCCAGCCTGGTTTTGCTTAATGTCCCGCCCGGCGGACAGTTGGGTTCACGTTTCATGTTGGCGCCTTCGTGTTTTGAGTGTACCCTGAGGCTCGGGTGATGCTTTTGTGTTGCTTTGGGTTGTGAATAAGCAACTTCGCTTAATCCCCCGTCGGGCTTCTTTTTGGAAGGGGCTTGGCTTTTGTTAACGGAACCGCTGTTTGAGTTCTCGAGATTGGAGTTTGACACACAAACAGGTGGATAAGGCTCTCAATGCAAAGCTTGTTGAGCTAGCCGATGGGAATTTGGAGTCGAAGTCTCTAGGATGCGGAGGAATTTGTTGTAACGGTCGTAAGCTCGTGAGTGTGGAGGGTGGGGATTGCTCGAAGCGAATATTTTGTGATAATTTGTGTCTTTGTGTTGGTTTGTGTTTGCTTGTGTTGCTTCCCTGCCGTGTTGTTTGTATGATGTTGGCGTGTCTCTCGGCTTCCTGGCCTCTGCTCAGAGGGCATGCGCAGTCACAATACGTGTCTCGGAAGCTGCCAAAGGCCCCGCAGCCGAAACGAAACGAAACGCATGTGCAAACCACCCCTCCCTGAGCCGAACCAAGACTCTCATCACCCGCTTGACAAACCAAGTCGGCACTTCTCAAGATTGCACTGCGAGAAGCCATCGGAGTCTGTGCCTCTTCTTTCTTCTGTTGCTCCGCCTCCTCTGCTGCGAGCCTCGCAGCTTCCTCCTGGCTCCACAGAAGTGACCATTCATGCCTTTGACGACATGCTTCAGTTTAGACCTTGCATATCTTGCAGTCAGATCCTCATCTTGACGAAGCGTTTCTTCCTGCTCCTGTCACTTCGTATCTCCAGTGCTGAAGTGAAGCAATACCCAGGTGCCTCGAAGCGGGCAGCAGCCTGTCGGCAGGGCAAGCAGTGCCAGTGTCAAACGTCACCAAAAGTGGCCATCGAGGTAAAAGCGCCTTTCTGGCAGCCTCTTTCTTTTTGTGCTCCTTTTGCTCTTTGCTTCTTTTTTCTTTGCGCTTTCGATCCGCTCTATCTTCTTCCTCTTCCTCCTCTTCCTCGGTTTCCTTGATTGCCTTGTTCGCCTGCGAGTCCTTGGTCTCGTCTTTTTCTGGATCATTCGGCTCCTTGTCCTGCCGCTCCTTCTCCCGTCGAGCTTCTTCCCGCCTCTTGCGGACGTCAGCGCGATACCTTCCGATGCAGCGTGAGTGCACGCTCGTAGGATTGTCGGAAACGCTCAAAACGAAACAAACAACTTGAAGTTGCAGTTGTGTTGCAACTTTCTAGCTTCTTTCTCTTCTCTTCGCTTGCGAGCTTCCTTTAATGGTGCAACCAGTCTACATGAAAGCCGCATGTCCATGCTTGCGTTCACAAACTTACGCGAGGCCACGCAGCATGATTCAGATTGGCAAATAAACAAACAAGCACCCCCAACCAGCATGCAAACTGCTCATGGTTTTGTACAGGCAATTCATGCAGTCCTCTTCCTTCTTTTGCACCGCAGCACTTGTGACTTTGCAGTGGAGGATGCACTCCTGGCAACTCCATTTCACAATTAATTAGCACAGCCGCACAAGTACCTGAATGATGGTCGCTGCATGAGGCATCAAAGCAGTCCTCTACAATATCTCCATCACCGACTCTGGAGCCATGAAGCTCCGTTGCTACGCGCTCCATCGCAGAACGGTCCTGCGCTCTGTGGTTCTTGAGATGTGGAGCGCTAATGCATAAAGTGCCAAAGTGCAAAAAGTGCAACATGTGGTCCTTCAGGATGATTCTTGCAATGCGACCATACCTTCGCTAAAGCTCAATCAACTCGTGACCTGAGGGTTGCCCCTTTAGGCTCTCACCTGGAGTCTGGCACGTAGGTCAGCCGCTCCACCCCACCAAAAGCAAGGAAAGTCGCCCGGAGTTGAGCCTGCACGCGTGTTCTCACCCGAGGCACTGACAGTCTGAAGCTTGCCTCACTCCAGCTTGTGGGGAAGCCCTCCACTAGCAAGTAGGTCTCCTGCAGAATTTGAATTCCCTTTGCTCCCAGCACTCCCAGTACTTCCTGTTGGCAAACTGAATCCCACCTGCGAGGCTTGCTCCGACTCAGGTTCGGGCGCCTGAAGCAAGTCATAGCACGATATTGGGAGTTCTAAGTGGAAATTCCTGCGCCTGTGGCAGAATCTGCGCCCAGAACTTCTCATCCTGATATAAACGCAGGCCGATGCATGAGTCATTCAACTCAAGACAGGTGCGTCAAGGCTTACTCTGAAAACGGCCAACTGTCCTCAGACGGAGGCCGACTGCCTGCTTCTCGCTTTTGCTTGGCCTAAGGCAAAGAGAAGACTGTTTGTACACAAATGCCAAAGTCCAAGCGGGGTGCTGTCCGCATGTCGACGCCATGCAGTGCCTCACAGGGCTTCCACTCACTTGAAATGCATTCAGTCAGCTCTTGCCTTCACTGCCTTTTCTGCCATGGCAGCATCAGCAAAGGTTGCCTGGGAGATGCTCAAGTTGCTTGGAGTCGGGTTCACACGCTCGAAGCTCTCCCTGTACTCTTCAGCAAATGGCAGTCGCAGTGGTGAGCTCATTCTCTTCTGTGACAACCTTGCCAGGGTGTGACCCAAGATGTGTCGTTGCATTCAACCACGCCTGAAGTCCAGTCAAATCACCAAAGGTCGAGAGCAGCTTCCTGCAGAGTTAAGTGGTCAAGTGGCACTGCGGGACCTCTGAGAGTCTCTGAGTGATTCCCCAACATTGCCACATTGCAAAATCCTCAGCTTTGCTTCGATGTCCCCACTGCCAGGGGCCATCCAGGACTTCGGGAAGTTCCGCATTCGCAGCCTATCGGCAGTTTGGGCTCTGCACTCAGCACTCAGTCCATCCATGCCATTTGCAGCTTGAGGGCGAGGACTCCATTCCCACAATCATCTTGCCGTTATCCGCCATCACCTAGCACGCAATCCTGCATGCACTGCAACACTGCTTGCTCGCTCTCTCTCTCTCTCTCTCTGCCCCTGTCTCTCCTCACCTCAAGATTTCAGTCTTTGAGGTCTTATAAAGCATCCACAACCCAGACACATGGCGGTCTCAGGCACTTTGTTCAACCTTTATGCCAGCTATGTGGCCATTCCTCATGGGTCGCCAACATTGCTGATGTTTGGTTCACATCTGTGCGGCTTCAGTGATCTGAGGATTTGTTAGGATGCTTGTGGAATGTAGCTTTTCGTCTTGAAGGACTCTGGGCTTTTGTGGTCATGGCACATGGAGCAGTATCTTGTGGCACACCTGATGTGTCAAGCATCAACTCTTCAATCCATGACAACTCACAAGCATACTGCGAATACTGCGAATACTGCGAGCATCGCAGTCATTGCAAGTCTCTGCCCAGGCCCATTGCTATCATCGCCTTTTACGACTTGCCGGTCACTGAGACCAGGCCACATGATGCGCAAATATGTACACATCTTGCGCAATCTTCGGATTTGCCAGTTTCGCCATCCACCTTCCTTCTTTGCAGAGTTGCTCAATGTTTACTGTCTTCTCGCAGGAAGGCAAGACCAACCAGACTCCAAAGATGTGGTCAAAACGATCGTTGTCTTCTAAGCTCAGCTTTTGGCAATTCATCCCGGTAACCGGGATTAGATCCAAACCGAGATCCTCAGGACAAAACTGATCATATCACGGCACAAATCATCGACGCAGGAAGATAACGTTGATCTTCTTAACTGCCAGCTTTCAGGCACCAGGCAGTCCAGTCAAGAAGTAGCAAGAATACAGCGCATCAGTTGGATCTGATTCTGAGACCGACACTCTGGCCGTCTGAAACCTTGGCAGAATGGCTAAACTATTTGATGGCGCAATAGAGCCCTTTCAAGCTAAAGTGGGATTCCTGGACAGCTGTGCGCAGGGCCAGAATCCGCCAGTCAATGGAAGCATCCACGTTCGAGAAAGCCACTTTCATTACCTGCACCGCATACAAGCAAAATGGAATCAAGGCACCAAGGCATCAAGGCCTTGCGCATCCATTCATCATGCTCCGTAGCGGCATTGAGCGATGGCACTTCCTCAAAGATTCCTTGCCTGTCAAAACGGAAACTTGTGAGCTGCCCATGCACCAACTTGCCGCCTTTTGCATTCAGCATATGGATCTGCAGTGACCTTCGTGACAGAAAGTGTGACAGCAAAACCAACAAACACAGCAAATAGCCAGTATGCACGGCCTTGTCATACGCTGGCCTGCATCAAGGTCTTCTGAAATGCTCACTTACCTCGCTACACCACCTTTCTGCAGTTTGTGGTGAGGTCGTTCGTGCCCCAGAAGCATCCTTGCCGCCGGTGCAGTCCTTTCAAAGGATAGACGTTCGAAGAACGCTGTCATTCGAAGACTCACTACAAATGAACTCCTCGATTTTTGTCACAGATCCACCGAGCACCTTGTTGATGCCAAGCTCCTGGATCATCTCAGAAGAAACCTGCGCATGTCCAAGGCACCATTGCTGCAAGTCACGATACAGTATCTCACGTCATATGTCGACCATCTGTGCAAACATATCATCCATGTTCTTACATACCTGTGTAAATCCCATGCCATCCGAAAAGCCTTCCAGGGCGCGTTCTCCAAAATCGTTGCTGCCTCAGAATGTCGCGTAAGAGGTTAGGAAAATGGACGGCCCTGTCAAGGGCTTGGTGAGCTGTGCCATGCAAGCTGCACCATTGCAGTGCCAAATTGAGCTTTTGGCCCAAGGCTTCCTGCGAAGACGCCCAAGGCGTGCCGCATAGCACTCGGCTGGCCTGCCATGCACAGCCTGAAATGCCCTGCATTCAGCTCGAAGCCTCTCGAAGCATCTCGAAGCATTCCGGGCTGGCCATGTTCCAACCGACTCTTGATGGCACTCATCACCTCAGGCGAAGTCATTCAATGACTCAAATGACTCAAATGACTCAAATGACTCAAATGACTCAAATGACTCAAATGCCTCAAATGCCTCAAATGCAACGGGGGTAAGTCTTTAAGTCTGTAACTGTGCACTCCGATAATCAGGTGATCTGCTTGCCGCTGACCTTCTCGCAGTATGTGAGCCTTCCGCGGTTTGGGGTTTGACACCCACACGACTCCCTTTCTTGCCTGGGCATCATGCAAGAAACACCAGGATCCATCCACGTAAACAACTGTCTCACCTCAGCAAATAGAGAACGCTGTTGAGGAAACGGCATTGCTTGCGCATGCCACGGCATACATATGAGCTTTGTACCACGTGCAGCTGCCTCCCATGGCATCTCGCAGCTGCAACAGGGAGAGACCTTTGCACACACAAGAGCTCTCCAGAAATCCTGGATGTCAATGCAGCCATATTCTGTGCGCCGCCGTGGGCTCACAAGCCTTGGGCCTCCGGCACTCTTTCGGAATTTGTGCCCTCACGGAAGGCAGGCCAAGCTTGAGGCCTAAACTCCGTTTGACCCAGCCTTCGAGGTCAGCCAGCGCAGCTTGTCTCCTCTTCCGATCTGTGAGCCTATCCCACCTCAATTTGCGTTTGTGTCTGCGTGTGTGTGTGTGTGCGATTGGCTGCAATGATCCGTCATGTGAAGAGTTTGGAGGTCAAGTTGAGACATGGACTGCATCATCAAAAGAGAGACTTTTTGCTTGAGAGCCTGTCAAGCAAATTCTCTGGCAATTCATGGCATTCATGGGTTGGCATGTCGATTGCATGCGTGCCATCATCATGGAATTGAAGAGGACGGTCTTGTAGCTCATGATCCAGACCTGGCGTCAGCATCGCCAGGAAATGTCAACTCCATGGTACTGAGCGGTTGAACTCTTGGACCCTCTGAGCTGCGCACTCCTTGGTACAGGGCGAGCCACCCATCCTTCTTGACAATGTCTGCCTATGTCACATCGGCTCACAGAGCACCCGAGCACCCCTCAACACATGCAACACTGAGGCAAGCACCAACATGCCCCAAAGGCCCAAATGATCGCCACCTGTTGTCTGGATGACGGCCTGAGAGTGTATATGAAATAGAGACCAACAAGCGCCAATTCCAGCCTTCGCACGAATCAACGGATACGTCAGAAGAGTTGCTACAGCTTTGGAGACGCCTGAGATCCAAAACCTTGGCTGCGTGCTCTCGAACGGACATCAAGCGAACGAAAGCAGCTACAAAAGAGATGGCTCCAAAACATGGCAGGTTGGCACATCTGATGAGCCCAAGAAGGAGTTTGCTGGAGTGTGACGGATGGCCTTCGCGTCTTTGGCACAGTTCCACTCAACTGCTATCATGGATGGCCTTGACGAAATCAGAGAGCTTTCCAACCTGCACATGGCCCAGCCAAACAGCTTTCCTGCTAGACCGTTCTCCTCACATCCGCCACGTGGACGTATGCAAATGCTTAAGCTTCACCAGGTCTGCGCTCAGGTCGCAGCCAGAGTGAACATCAGAGCTGGATTCAAGGAGAGCAGCAAGGCAACAGGGAGCCTAGTTCATCGCATGCAAGCCGATTAAAAACTGCAAGTCCATGAATACTGAAATGCCAACGGAACTTGCAGTTGCAGTAAGAGTCGATCCCTCGCCACAAATCAGCGGCACCACCTTCTCCTAGCACGTCACCACACTGAAGCTTGTCGAGTTGGTCCAAAGAAGCGCACTTGCCATTCGGTAAAAGGTGTGGAAGAAGCCCTTTGACTTTGGGTCAGCCTGAGATGTCGATGCCAGTCTCAGGACAGCATGCCGATGCCAGCCAGCCTGGTTCACGCTGGCCACCACATCGAAAGGAGTTGTCAAAAGGCGGTTGAACCTCGCCCAACGAAAACAGCTTCCGCATGGCCAAGGCCGAAGCACCGGGCCGTCCAACACATCAGAAAGAGATTCTACCAGTGTCGGAAGTAACCAATGTATATCTTTTGCCATTCACTGCTATGCCAGCCGTACCTGTACAAGCTGCCCTCAAACTCTACCCTGCGTGCATGTCAAATAACCAGCGGCTAAGCATTGTGCTGCTGTGCCAGCATGTTGACGATCAGCGCGGCAACTGTCCCAAGCCTGTCATCGCAGGCTCTGGCGTGTGCTTGAAGCTGAAAAGTTAGGAATCGGGCTTCTCTCGACCAGGCTCGTGAGTTTGTATCCTACGCAAACTCAGCTGCATGAAGACAGTTTGCCACACGAAGAAGCCGACCTCAGTATCCGAGTGAGCCAGCACCTGCAAGTACTGTCTAGCTGTCTGCCATGCTGAGGTTTCAAGCGTTTGAGGTGATGGTCTGAATGAGACGCCTGCAAGTTCTGCATTGCAGAAAGCAGAGAGTACAATGTCAAACAGCGTACCCTATGAGCCCCTGGTACACGCCCCGCAAGCCCTTCTGCTTCAGCAGGCGCGTCCTTGGAAAGCAGAATGCAGACCCTACAGCAACACTAAAACAAAAAACGACGCGCGAAACCACATGAGCACAACATGCGCTATGCACAGGAGGAAACAGCATGCTCGTCTTGATGTTATCAAGCCGCACACGTGAAAATCCGAAAAAGGACAAGGACTCAAGCACAAGCCCACCAAGTAAGCTACTGTTGATCTAGGTTTGAGCTAGCGTCCCACACCTGCTCAGCACAGATTTCTATGTGAGCACCATTTCGCCAGCACCCGTGCCCATATTTCTGCGTGAGCTACTCCCGATCCAGTTGTGAGATGGACAACAAGATGAGACACAGGCTAATTTTTAGCGTAGGACCTGACAGGCTGAGCAGCATGTGAATCTCGCTCAGGAGCACGCGAGCAAGAAAGAGAAAAAGAGAAAAGGAAAAACAAAGAAAGAACAAAGCAAGAGCAATTCAAGGAAGAAGGAGCAAAACAAAGTCAAACAAAAATGAATTGAGAAAAAGCCCCATCTTAGAGCAAATAAGAAAGAACTTTTAAGCAAAGAGCACGCACAGAGCAAAGAACAGCATTGGAAGGAAAGTGCAAAGAAACAGCGACAAGAGAAGAACAGCTGCAGAGCAGAAGAACAGAAAGGAAAGCAAAAGAAAAATGGCAGTGAAAGACAAGAACGTAAATAGCACCAGAGAGCCCCACAAGGACAAACAAGCACAGGAACTGAAAATATCATATGCGCAAAGAACAAACAAAGAAATACCATAGAAACAAGAGGAGCCCGGGAACCCAAAAGCAAACCAGCCTCACTCCCCATGGCATGTGGATCCCGTTGTTTTCCGGCTCAAGGGTCCGAAGGCAAACCAAGATTTAAGTTGTTCACAGTTGGGAAATCAACCCCAAAACAGATGAAGAAGGGGAGCAACCGCGACTCAAGCCGGATTGGCAGCCAGCAGCCTGTGCTCTGACCAAGCACAGAGAAAAAGGCAAAGGCACGGGTGAAACATGACAGGCCCCGCACTACATGGAAGGCACGAAGTCATCCGATTCATCATGAAGAACCAATCGCAGAAATCCGAAAATGGATCCGCACAAACTACCACTCCCAGATTGGAAGCAGGCATAAGCTCGCTCTACACCCATCAAACAAGTCTGTGTTACAACACGATCTGAGTAGACCGGGGTCAGCTGTTCGGATGTTCATGCGCCCTTTTGTTTGGGCCGAGTGTGCTCAGCATATTCATGTCAACGTGCTTCCAGGCTGCTTCCAAATAAGTAGGGCGAACCCCAAGAGGCTACAGCTTCTGAAGAGAGGGTTCGTCCTAGAAACACATTGGCGCCATTTGTTCGGGTCAGGTGTGCGGCAAAAAGGACAATCTTGGCGCAACTGGAACGCCGGGCTGTTCACATGGAGCCGTGCACGTGGCCTTCACAAACTTGCTTCGTAAGCTTGCTTGGATTCGTTAGTTTCTCCACCTATTTTCCCATTCGCAACCAATTGCAACTGGTGACTTTGTGGAAAGGGCCGCGCACGTTGTCAATTGGATGCGTGTGGATGGCAAGTTGGGTGGATTCGCCGCAGGTGTGTGGAGATGGGGCCGGCGCTGCGCTCTTGCGGGGGGCTCGGTGTGGACAAGCCTCGGTCACTTGGTGGGTCTGACGCCTGTCTGAAACAAGTCTGAGACATGTGCTCAGCATATTCATGTCAACGTGCTTCCAGGCTGCTTCCAAATAAGTAGGGCGAACCCCAAGAGGCTACAGCTTCTGAAGAGAGGGTTCGTCCTAGAAACACATTGGCACCGTTTGTTCGGGTCAGGTGTGCGGCAAAAAGGACAATTATGACATACCTGGAGCGCCGGGCTGTTCACATGGAGCCGCGCACGCGGCGGTTGCCGCATGTCATGAGCGCCAGTCTCGCTCGCCGGCATGACACGAGCGTCCGCCGCGCCAGTCTCGCTTGCCGGCATGTCACCAGCATCCACCTCGCCAATCTCGCTCGCGGGCGGATTCCGCATGTCACGAGCGTCCACCGCGCCAGTCTCGCTCGCGGGCGCTTTCCGCATGTCACGAGCGTCCACCGCGCCAGTCTCGCTCGCGGGCGGTTTCCGCATGTCACGAGCGTCCGCCGCGCCAGTCTCGCTCGCATGTCACGAGCGTCCACCGCGCCAGTCTTGTTCGCGGGCGGTTTCCGCCTGTCACGAGCGTCCACCGCGCCAGTCTCGCTCGCGGGCGGTGTCTCGCTCGCGGGCGGTTTCCGCATGTCACGAGCGTCCACCGCGCCAGTCTCGCTCGCGGGCAGTTTCCGCCTGTCGCGAGCGTCCACCGCGCCAGTCTCGCTCGCGGGCGGTTTCCGCATGTCACGAGCCTCCGCCGCGCCAGTCTCGCTCGCGGGCGGTTTCCGCATGTCACGAGCGTCCACCGCGCCAGTCCGCGCCGGTCTCGCTCGCGGGCGGTTTCCGCATGTCACGAGCGTCCACCGCGCCGTCTCGCTCGCGGGCGGCTTCCGCATGTCACGAGCGTCCACGGCGCCAGTCTCGCTCGCGGGCGGTTTCCGAATGTCACGAGCGTCCACCGCGCCAGTCTCGCTCGCGGGCGGTTTGTGCGTGTCACGAGCGTCCACCGCGCCAGTCTCGCTCACGGGCGGTTTCCGCATGTCACGAGCCTCCACGCGCCAGTTCGCTCGGCTGGCGGTTTTCCGCCTGTCACGAGCGTCCACCGCGCCAGTCTCGCTCGCGAAACTTCCGCATTGTCACGAGCGTCCACCGCGCCGGTTCGCTCGCGGGCGGTTTCCGCATGTCGACGAGCGTCACCTCGGCCAGTCTCGCTAGCGGGCGGTTTCGCATGTCACGAGCGTCCACCGCGCCAGGTTCTCGCTACGGGCGGTTTTTTCCGCACGTGCACGAGCGTCCACCGCCAGTCTCGCTAGCGGGGGTTTTCCGCCTGTCACGAGCGTCCTCCGGCGCCAGTCTACGCTCGCGCGGGCGGTGTCTCGATCGCGGGGCGGTTTCGCATGTCACGAGCGTCCACCGCGCCAGTCTCGCTTGCGGGCGGTTTCCGCATGTCACGAGCGTCCGCCGCGCCAGTCTCGCTCGCGGGCGGTTTCTCTTCCCTACGATTCGCATGGTCACGGAGGCCTCCACGCGCCAGGTTCTCGCTCGCGGGCGGTTCCGCTTGTCACGAGCGTCCACCGCGCCAGTCTCGGCTCACGGGCGGTTTCCGCACGTCACGAGCGTCCACCGCCAGTCTCGCTCGCGGGGGGTTTTCCTCCTGTCACGAGCGTCCACCGCGCCAGTCTCGCTCGCGGGCGGTTTCCGCCTGTCACGAGCGTCCACGGCGCCAGTCTCGCTCGCGGGCGGTTTCCGCATGTCACGAGCGTCCACCGCGCCAGTCTCGCTCACGGGCGGTTTCCGCACGTCACGAGCGTCCACCGCCAGTCTCGCTCGCGGGGGGTTTCCTCCTGTCACGAGCGTCCACCGCGCCAGTCTCGCTCGTGGGCGGTTTCCGCATGTCACGAGCCTCCACCGCGCCAGTCTCGCTCGCAGGCGGTTTCCGCATGTCACGAGCGTCCACCGCGCCGGTCTCGCTCGTGGGCGGTTTCCGCATGTCACGAGCCTCCACCGCGCCAGTCTCGCTCGCGGGCGGTTTCCGCATGTCACGAGCGTCCACCGCGCCAGTCTCGCTCACGGGCGGTTTCCGCACGTCACGAGCGTCCACCGCGCCAGTCTCGCTCGCAGGCGGTTTCCGCCTGTCACAAGCGTCCACCGCGCCAGTCTCGCTCGCGGGCGGTTTCCGCGTGTCACGAGCGTCCACCGCACCAGTCACGCTCGCGGGCAGTTCCCAGACTCCGGCTTATTGAAAAGGTTCAAGAATTTCGGCATGTTTCAATAGCGGGCCTTCATTTCAATAAGAAGCACTGTTTTTATTGAAACAGCATGTGTGAAGCTTATTGGTTTGTAAGCTACATTTCAATAGCAAGTATTATTGGTTTGCAAGGACATTCCAATAAGACCCCAGCCCCTAAACATCCCCAACCCATGCCCAAACCCATGCCACAGACAAACACACTTTGTGGCTCTATGTTTTTTGAGGGAAACTCCATGAAACTACCATAAGGGAACAAGCCTGGATCTTTGGGCCTGCCATGCCAGGGGTTCATCAAGGCAGCCACTGACAAGAAATGAAGCTGCGCCCAGCTTAGATCGAGTGCCAAATCGACTTACAAAGCGGTTGCTTTCGCAAAAAGCTATTGAAAGGCAGAAGCCCTTGTGCAGGGCCTCTCAGCGCACAGCAGCTCGCTCCAACTTTTCACTCTACATCTTCTCCCTCCTGGTCAACGCAATGGCCTGTGAGCCTGAGCCACAGCCCTAGCCTGAACCTCCGACCTTCTCAGGCACAATGTGCCCAGGGGCGATGTGTAGGTTGCTTGGGGTTAAGGAACTGGGCTTGGTCAGCCATTCCATTGCAGCAGGCCCTGCTTGCTGCATCTCACATAATGCTGCAGGAAAAGGTCAATGTGAATTCTTGAAAGCTAAACACTCCTTCCTGGGCAGGTGCAGGTGCCCAGAATCTATTATGTCAGAAACTGCTGCCAAGTTCTGGAGGCAGCGCAGCCTATGCATGGTGTATGGCGCCATCTCGTCTGCATGCTGCTGGCAGAGCTCTACCACACATGGAACCAAGTACCTGATGCGCCTGGCCTTGAAGCCACTGAGATCAGGATTTGCTCTTTGGGTTGCAAAAGTTGCTGAAGGTCAGCTTGGGGATCCTGTTGGAAGATGGTATGCCAAGCTCTTCATACTGCTTCAGGATCTTGTGGAACAAGGCTTTGAGCCTGGCTTCCTGCACGCCAGCCCACCGAGGCTTGATCACCCAATCGAAGAAGCAGTTTGCAATTGCATGGGCGGCAACGCCTTCCTCAATGATGTGCAAGGAGTCATAAGCAAAAGTTTCCCCAACAACACCAGAAATCACATGGCTTGTGGGGCACTTGCCTTTGTGCTTGGTGACAGTCTTT